GGGCGGCGGGGATTGGGGGGACTGTAGGATGGACGAGTGGTTGTGGGGGTGGGCAGGGGTTGGGTGGCGTCTATGGGTCGAGGTGGGGGAGATCATGGCGACTTGGGCTCCAGGCCAGTGTGCAGCGAAGCTGGCACAGCTCGGCGCAGCGCCCCGTGCCTGGCTCCTGGTGGGCCGGGCGTGTTGAGCAGATGCTGCGTGGCGGCCCGTGGCCTCGACAGGCGCCTCAACAAGCACCCAGGTACACCCGCCTCCCTGGCTTGATGGCGCAGGGCTATCTTGCTCGCTTGCCCGTACGCATCTTCTTGGCGTCGGCCACCATTTTTGTGGCCACGTCGTCCGCCTTTTTGCTCTTTTACCCCATGCCCTGGCCCAAGCGTGTCGGCGACCTCCCCGCGATTGCCTGGACTGCTTTTCAACGGTATAGCTCGCCGCTTCTGGCTGACCTCGGGGCCAGTGTGCCTTCTTCTGCCCAGCTGTCCCGTTTGGCCTCACCCTAACCCATCCTCCCTCTGCCTGTGCCCGCTGCACCCGTACAGCTACTGCCGCGACTGGATTGCCGTGCTTCGCGTCATCTGGACCTACAAGCAGGCCCTCAAAGCAGATGATAGCAAAACCGACCGGGATCAGATTATGGCCAATTGCCACGAGCAAGCGGCTGCCATCTTGCGTCAACTCTTTGAAACGAATGGCGGCATCTACATTAAGCTAGGACAAGTATACATCTTGCGTCGACCGCCGGCCGCAGTCACAAAACTCGGCCCCCAGTCTCTGGCTTGCCATTCCTCACCCGCACCCCACTCGCCAAAATCCTCCTTCCTGCCACCCACAGCACCTTGGCTTACTCGACTACATTATTCCAGAGCAGTACGTCAAGGCAATGCAGGTATGAACAGCACAAACTGGACCTTCCACCTGCCCTCCGCCGTCCTTCCCGTGTACACCCATCGCCACAATCGCCCCTGCCATGACCATCACTGGGCTTGTTGACTAGGTTTTCTTTGATCGGGCACCCACCTCTTCGTATGAAGACGTAAGGCGCGTTGTACAAGAAGACTTGGGAGCTGACATTGAAACCGTACGACCATTGGCTTGCCCACGCCCCCGCCCTCTTATCTGATACATGTGGGATTCAAATGCTAGCATCTTCTCGTCGCTCATGCTTCATCTGACACCTACTCTACTGACGGGATAGCTCTTTTCCTCTTTTGATTTTGCCCCTTTGGCGTCGGCTTCCCTGGCTCAGGTACAACCTGACTGCTTGCAGCACCCCTTAGTCTGCCACATACCGATTCCAATTCCTCTCTCACCTTTTGATGCTTTCTGTATGGTGCTTGGTGTCCGTAAAGGTTCATCGCGCTGTCTTGCGCGATGGCCGTGAAGTGGCTGTCAAGGTACCGTTGCTGTTTTCCCGTGGGGGGTTCCATTTTTTTTTCTCTTCTCCTTCTACTTTTTTCCTCTCCGCTTTCCGATGGGTTATAGCCCGCTGCTTACGCCATGGTGGCTTCAATCTGCTTGAACACACACACGCACACACACACACACACACACACACACACACAGGTACAGCATTGGGGGTTGCGTGAGGATAGCGTCGGTGACATTTACACCGTTGCCGTCCTTGTGGAACTGACCAAGCGCATCTTTCCCGATTTCAACTACACTTGGCTGGTCGAGGAAATTCAGAAGAACCTGCCGCGCGAACTTAATTTCGTAGAGGAGGCCGCCAATGCGCGTCGCTGTGCCGCCATGCACGCCGACCGCCACGACGTGCATATTCCCGAGATTGTGGAAGACATGACGTCTAGCCGTGTCCTAACCATGGAGTTTTGTCACGGCATTCCCCTCACCGATGTGGCCAGCATCCGTGCTGCCAAAGTCGATATTGCTGCCATCTCACGCACCGTGACTGAAATGTTCAGCGAACAAATCTTTGTACATGGCCGTGTTCACTGTGATCCTCACCCAGGCAATGTCCTGGTTCAAGCTGATGGTCACGGTCGCGCACGCATTGTCTTGCTGGACCACGGCCTGTATCGCGAGCTACCCGAGACCTTTCGCCTCGAGTATTGTCGCCTGTGGCGAGCCATCATCGAAGGGGATGCTGCGGGCATTGAGCGACACGCAACCACCATGAATGCCGGCGAATATTACCCACTCTTCGCAGCCATGTTGACCTACAAGCCCTGGGATGCCGTTGTCGGGCGAGGGTCAGATCGCCTCGAGCTCTCTGGATCGGCGCGCGAAAAGGCTGAAGTTCGACGCAATGTGGGCAAGTACTTGCGCCAGATCAATGCTCTCCTGGCCCGCGTGCCCCGCGACCTTTTGCTGCTCTTGAAAACGAATGACTGCTTGCATGGTTTGGAAAATAATCTGCGCGCCGCTTTGGAGCGACCCTCGGATCTGCTGCCCGGTACCACGCATGCCATCATGGCAGCCTGTTGCTTGCGTGCCCTCTTCGAGGCAGACCGTGGAGCTCAGCGAGCACGTCTGCATAGCACTTGGCGCCAATTGCCAGCACATCTCTGGCTTCGTGCTCGCTACTGCCATGACTGGGTTCGGCTTTCTGCATTCAACTGGCTCCGATGGGCCACTGCGTGCTGGCAGCGTCTCGTCCGATCTTTAACTTTGCCGACGTCGATGACGTAATCAAAGTTTTGCGTGGTTAACACGTGTCCTTCTGGTACTAGAGCCGGGCCGAGCCGCGGCCGATTTGTGATAGCAGAAAGCAGGGAGTTTTGGCTGTTTGCCCAAAAAAACAGCCTCGAAACCATGGCATCTTTCCACAAGAAATTGACATGTTAAGCAGGTTGTGGAAAAAAGAAAAATATCAAGGTTGGATTGCAGCGGATCGGGTAAAAACATAAGAAGACCCAAAACAACACTTGATATTATTGGAATTGCTGCACAAAGAACATGGGATGTAGTCATAACAGAAGCAAAGATGTTCAGGCTGGAGCGTTGTCATTGGTCCAGGCCAGGCGGCATCGCGGTGCAAGTCTATACATGCCACTGACTCTTTGTAAGGTGGATGCTGACACTGGCAATGTTCGGGCGTGCTCGGCACGGCTCTAAACAAGACACAACGACTGGTCAACACCTCAGCTCGAGGAAAATTTAAGACACCAGAACACGTGGTCCTGTGGAAAGTTCCTTTTTTTTAAAAAAAAAAACAAGGCTGTGCGGGTGGGCTGTGTCCAAGAGTGATAAAGCTCAGAAGCTGCAGAGCTATCACGCTTCTGACCAAGCAGTAACGTCTTCTGGGTCCTCTTCTACAAGATGAAGTCGGAACAAAGTCAGCAAATTGTGCGGCCAGAATATGCAACAGGGGCGGCCTGCCGGCATGATCGGACACACCAAGTTGTTGAATGGTGGCACCGATGGAGGCGTAGGCAGGATTGTAGCGCGGGGCACCCAGCTGCGTGGGTTCTTCGTTGAGATCCATCGGTGGAAACTCTGGGAACGGGGCGCTGTCAAGTTCCACGGGCACAGGCTTTGGTGTCTGGGGTTCGTCAAGCTCCATGGGGCTTGGAGAGGCCACGGTGCTGGGGCGTGGGGTTAAGGGGACATCTGCATCCACCTCAACCTCGCGGTCCCCACGCGACAGGGGATTGGCAAATGTCTGCAAACCACACTCCAGGCGTGAGTTGAGCAGAGCTTGGACAAGGCCCTGCTGCGATGCATAACAAAATTTGCAACGTACGTAGTTGGAGCCGTCGCTGTCTTGCTTTTTACGCCAACGCCAAGCAAGAAAGCCGATTGCACTACAGAGGATGATTGATCCCAAGACGGCGCCAACAATGGCGCCTGTTCGGTTGGGCGGATGGCTCGCAGCCAGAACAGTGGTACTGGTTGTTGTGGTTAAAGACATCCCGTCATATATCACGTTGGCAACCTTGGACGAGAGTGCCCCTTGCCACGCTTGCAAAAGCTCTGCCTCGTCCTCGTCTTCGGCCTCGTCGCGGATGCTCTTGAGCAACAAATCAGAATGAGCATCAATCTAGTCCACAGATACGAGTTTAGATGAGTTGTCACTAGATGTCGGATGCTGGGCACCAAGCAGCAGGTCTGACAGGGTCTCCACTCAATGCAAACGGTGCTTTCTAACCAGGGAAATGTTGTAGATGATATCATCCAAGTCCGGGTGCAAGATCTGCATATATGACGTGGGGCCAGAGGTGAGCATCGCGGAGGGTGGCGTCCGCGACCGAACGATTTTGTGTCCATGTGGCCAGAATTCGTACCTCAAAGGTAATTTGAATGGCTGCGTCGATATTGGAAATGTTTACCATTTTCATGTCTGTGTGTTGGCTCGAGCCCAAGAGAAAGAGGAAAGCGGCGCGAACGAGATGCAAGCTTGAAGGAAAGAAATTTTTCCCCGAGAAAAGATGAGCAAATGAACGGGGCGTGTTCGATCGAAGGCAAGACACAGATCAAGCCTATGGCTCATGCAGTGAGAGGCAAGACACGGGGAACAAACCTCTCTTGGACAAGGGCATGAGTAATGCCGATAAAAGTGAGATTGAGGGAGACGGTGACTCGGCTGATCTCGAGAGTTGCTGTATGTGAGTGGGTACGCGAAGATGAGCAAAAGAGCGAGAAAAAACAACAGCAAAAAGAGGTGTTGAGCGCCATGTGGAAATAGGACGAACGCTGGAGACATTGGGCGGCGCAGACGGCCGTGTCATCGTAGTCAGGAATGGTGTCCGGATCGACGGTGCGACGACAGGTGGTGACGCAAGCAGCACCCTCGCACTTTTGCCCCGAGATGGAGGTAAAATAGCAATTGAGGCCGTAAAGACACTCCATGTTGAGCGTGCAGCTGGCCCCTATAGCTGCGCATTTCTGTATTTCACAGGACGACATCAAATCAGAGAGATGTCGAAACGTTGAGCATTAGGGAGTGATGGAAAGGCCACGTGTGAATCAGAAAGCGTGACCAAACCCACTCACATCAGAGACGCAGTTTTGCTGAGCAGGGGTGAGAGTGCTCAGGCCTTGCTGCAGGGTGGATTCTAAAAGATTGGTGATGGGCCAAAGCAAGGTGAAAGGGCAGATCTGATCCGTTGATGAGCGAAGGCAAAAGACCGGGTGTGGCACGCACCAATGTCACAGGTGTTGTTGAAATAGCAATGGATCAGAGCTGCACTCTCGACCCGAGCCGAGGCATACAGCTTGGAGCAAAAGTCAGCGCAATAGTTGTCATCAAAGCAAACGAGGTTGGCTTTGACGGCGGCGCAGTACAGGACGTGCAGACACCTAGATTCGTTGCTGCCGGGAACACGTATGCAGGTGCTATTCGGACCACGAACATGAAGCCATCAGAGGATGCATCAAAGGGAAGACAGGGGTGGTTGGCAAGGCGAGATGGGAACGCACTCGAGGGCAGCTTCACAAGGGCCATCCACAAGACAGCTGCCAAAAAAGTCGCGGGTCATGGTGACGTCGTTTTCATCTGGGGCAACACAAAATTATAAGGAAAATCACAAGGGAGAAGAAGGAAGAAGAAGGTCGCTGTGACGGCGGGGCGAGGACCAAGTCGCTCCGAGGGTCAAGGTGAATTGTTCCACGACCCACCTTGTACGCAGGTGGTGTAGCACTGGACAAGGGGTTGAACGATGGGAAGTTCTTGCAAAGCGCCGATAACGGAGCCACCGGCGGCCTTGGTGAGGCAGTCGGTGGCACAGGAGATGTCTTCAAGACAATCGTGACCGGCATCGGTGGCACACACGAGGGCTGGGCCGCAGATGGTGGCCTCTTCGCAGGCGGCGATTTCATTTTGACAGACGGTGTCACAATAGGGAGTACGAAAGGCATGGGCAGGCATGGAGCCAGCCACGATCAGGAGAAGAACGGAGATCAAGATCTGACCCTGTGGCGTAACCAGCTGGATCGGACGCGCCATGCCGCCGTTGTGCCCTGCGTCCGAAAAAAAAAAGCAGCAGCAGCAGCGGACAGAAAGCTGCGAATCCCTCGACGCGACCAGACCAGTTTTGCTGTGGGAAGCCCCAACGTTGGCCTTGTCAAAGCAACCAACAAGCCCAATGCGTGCTCGCTGATCACAAGCTGACCCCCGGGCACGGAGGTGGACGTGTCCAACGCTGGACTGCTCCTCGTCGTCGTCCTCGTCCTCGTCGTCGTCCCGCCCTAATGGAACCAAAACAGATCAACAAATCAAAGATCAGTCGCAGTCATGAGCCACTTGCACATCCACCTCTGCCTCGTTCTTGAAAAATGCATTCACCCCTTCATCCCCCACCGCTGCCGCTGCCGCTGCCGCTGCATCGCACCCCCTCACCCCCCGCTGCCGTTCCCGAAAAATAAACACACACACACACACACACACACACATCAAGCGGCACGATGTAAGACTTTTACACATCCACAATAACTAACAGAAACTCTTCACAGACTATAGTGAATGAGATTAATAGATCTGCAATAGCTGTAAATATCGCTTCACAAAATGTAAAGGACACTTGTGGGTGTGGAAGAGACTCGGCAAGACTCATCGGGACAGCTGGTCATGAACACCTTGTGAAGAATAATCTTCATAAAGTCCATGCGATTATACACCAGTGAACGTAAGACATCTGCATAAACTCGTACAAACGCGACATGAACCTGATTTGTTACACTTTTAAGCAAGAAAAAACCGTTTCGTTCAGTTTCTCTCTCTCTCTCTCTCTCTCTCTCTCTCTCTCTCTCTCTCTCTCTCTCTCTCTCTCTCTCTCTCTCTCTCTCTCTCTCTCTCTCTCTTTCTCACACACACACACACTGGAACGAAATGGCAGCGCCTCCGCCCGCTGAAGACGTCAAGGTAAAAGCCGTTTGCTTCAATGTGCACAGGTGCTACGGCCATGTTCTTCGGTTCTGTTGGAAACGCGAGCCTTTGTGTGCCTTGTGTTCTCCCGCTTTGGATACCTGTCGTGGCGTCGGGGTTGTGTATCCTCGTGCTTTACATTTGGCAGCCTGAGCTTCGGCTCAGACCCGCGGCCTGGCTTGATAACCATGCTTTCACTCTGATTATACCCTCTCCCCCGTTGACTGCTTCCCCCCAACTCACTGACTTGTGTCTTTTGTTTGTGTCCGTGTAGCCCACTGTCAAGGCCGAGGGCGATGGCTACATCAACCTGCGCGTGACTGGCAGCGATGGCGCCGATACGCACTTCAAGATTAAGCGCGTCACTCAAATGAAGAAGCTCATGGACGCTTATTGCCAACGCAAGGTCAGCTGGCTCGCCCGCATTTGTCTTGACATGTGTTGTGTTGCCCCTGCCACGCGCGTGTCTCGGGTTCAACTCACTGACGCGTGTCGTCTTCACCGCAGGGCCTGAGCATGCAGTCAGTCCGCTTTGTCTTTGACGGTACCAACATTGGCCCCGATGACACGCCCACCAGTCTGGAGATGGATGAAGACGACAGCATTGGTACGTGCAAGACCCCACTGGTTTATCTTTTCTTTTCTTTTTTCTCTCCTCGGATACTTGTCAAACTGCCCGCCCCAACGCGCTCATGGACTTTCTATCCATGCGCACTACAGACGTCTTCCATCAGCAGACGGGTGGCTACACTTGCTAAGAGCCCCCACACAATTTCCCATATCCCACACCAGTTCGTTGTCTTGGGTGCGGATCCCAATCATCTGACGGGCTCGTGTTTCGGGGTGGCCGCGCCGCTCTGTGAGCCCTCTGAGTCGTTTTTTTTTTTTTTTCTTTTCTCCCATCCTCCCTTGCACGACCATGGCTTTCCTTGGGCCATCCTCTTCCTGGCAACCTAGAGGCCATCTGTGGTTTGCTGCTGAGCCTCTTCTCAAGGCTCAACAGTCGTGTCTCTTCTCCTGTTCTTTCATGTTCAATTGATGTGAAACCAAAGGGCTCCAGATCAAACGCCCGGAAACAACGTGCCCCGGGACCAACAAACAACCAACATACTCTACCCTATGCCCATCTCGATCTCTGTGGTCATGACAGCAATTGCACCAGGGTCGGGGTTGCCGCCACGCCAACAAACCCGGCACCGGCCACAATGCCGGCACTGCAGGCACCCAAAATGAAGGGCTTGGGGCCGATGCCTCGCAAACTAGCCACACTGGTGGACAGACCCACAGCCGCCATGGCCGTCCCAAGGAGATAATGGCTGCCAATCTCGTTGGCCAAGACGCGAATCCCCGTCTGGTAGAGGGCCGGATCCACAAAGGCCGTGTCTGCCATGACCCAATCTGCCCCACTACGCAAAGCCGCCAACCCCAGAAAGCCAAGAACAAAGGGAGGCACGCTCTTGCTCCAGGCTGGCAAGCCCAACGGCTTGCTCGGTCCCGCGGTGGCGCCAGCCGATGTCGCGGCACTAACAGCGGCCGCCGGTGAGGCAGCTCGCTGGCTATCTGCTTTGATATGTGTCCACGCCAAGGCTGGAATCGCTGCTGCCAGAAACACGTTGCGTGTTAGTTTGGTCACCACAGCCGCTTGCATCGCAATCTCATCGTGGTACACCTGATTGTAAGTCAGCGCCGCACCCATGACCTACGGCAGGCAAAGGGCCCATGGCGGGGCGAGATGAGTTGAGCTGGGCGACAGATCCAAAAACGAGTTGATCCTTTTGACCCTTGTCCCTTTCTGCCCCCCCTCCGCACACTGACCTGAGCCGTGTCGTGAACGGACAGGCCGAGAAAAGCACCAGCCTGCGTTGAGCTTGCAAAAAGGGCGTGCGCCACATGGGGCATCAGGAGCATGTTCAGGGTGCCAAAGGCCACCACGTTGGCGACGGCCACCGCAGTCTCTTGCTCACTGGCCCGAATAGTTGGGCTCAGTGCTGAAATGGCTGTCACCCCGCAAATACTCGTGCCCGCCGCCACTAGACTGGAGAGCTTGGTAGAAAGCCCCATGGCTCGACCCAGGCGCGGTACCACCAACATGCCCGTACCAATGGCGGCCATCACAGCTGGTACACCCTGCAAGCCCACGTTGGCAATCTCCACCAGGCTCAACTTGGCACCAATGCAAATGATGCCGGCCCGCAACAGGGTCCCCTTGCTCAGCTCCAGTCCAGCCTTGAGTCTCTCCATCGGCAGCTTGATAAGACCATTGTTGCGCAGGGCAAAGCCCAGGAGGATGGTCACGGGAATGCCTGAAATAGGGCTCGGCCCGCTCGTATCGGCCAGCCCCTGCAGGTGCAGCAGCACGGGTCCCAGCTGTTCAGCGCCCCAAAAGCCTGCCTGCATCACGGCTGCCGAGGCCAGTACGCCCGGTACAAGATGACCCAGTGCTCGTTGTTGAGACGGCAGGCCCACCGCAGCCGCGCGCCGGCGCTCCTCGCGGCGGTGGTCGATGCGCGCGCACATTGAGGTCACCGGCAGCCCATTGGTGCGCGGCACCAGCCGACGCGCCAACGCCACCGACATTTTTCCCTCTTTCGCTCCTTACACAACGCCGTCCCAGGCTCTTCCACCTCCTCCTGCGGCCACGACAAGGCGCCCAATGCACCCACCCCACACCCGATCCGATCCGATCCCTATCACGACGTCAGCGTTGTTTGGTGTTGTCGTGTTTTTTGCACCAAAATCGTGACAATTCGATCAATAATAACGAAAAAACATGGAACTCGCGCTGGTCTCTCTCTGGAGTCTGTTCTTCAGTTTCCATTGAGCTGGGAATTGGGGGTGGGTAGTGGGTGGTGGGTGAGCAGCGCTGGTGCATCGATTGACCCATCCTCAGCACGGCACACGAGGAGCACACCAGGAAAACCCAAAGTAAGAAGGAAGAAGAAAGGAAAAGTTGAATGAGGACAACAACAGAGGATCAGTAATGATTGAGGAGTGCCTTCATGCCAAAATTGGCATGCTAGCAGACGTTGGAGAACGCAGTGCGCGTGAGCGGCCTCGGCAAGAAAGCTTAGAGGTGTTGTTGTCCAACAGCAAAGAACGTGGCTCTTTACCAGGGGGTGCAGGGGTGGGTGGTGCACTTTTGGTGGTAGGCCTCGAAGCGACCCTCAGCCACGTTCATGAGGGTGGTGTAGGTGGTGAGCAGGTTGAGGTTGGGCTGGGCGCTGAGCATGTTGAAGAGCGAATCAAACTCGACGTTATCAGTACCAATCTGCTGCAGGCAGGTTTCGGCGGGGCCACGGCGGTTGTCATAGAAGGGGGGGTCCACCCAGTTGTCGTAGTTGGTCTCGATGACCTGCGAGCATGCCCATCAGTCGAATGAGAGGAGAGGAGTTGGGCACCGTGCAAGACAGACTCGTTCGGAATCACCCAGAAACTCAGGCAGGGGAACACTCACATAAAAGCCGGTGTTGTGAGCATCGTTTTCGAGGGTCCAAAGGTGCAACGACTCGTTCATGGAGCGCGTGATGATGGCACCCTCGTTGGGCTGTGAACATCGCATCACACACGCACAGACGCATGCACAAACGGACGCATACATACACGATGGCATCAGCGGGGAAGAATGGCTCTGGCGTGGGTTCCAACGCCTCGTCACCAAGGCAAAGGGATCAAAGAAATGCAGAACAAGGCGGAAAGCTGTACCTGCACGCCGCCGAGAATCATGTATGATGGGCCAACCATCTTGTAGCTTTGGAGGGCTTGGAGGGCCTCGGCATACGTGGCCTGGGATTCCATGACTTGACGGGTAGTAAAGCCAACGAAATGGCCCGAGGTATCACCCTCGAAAAACTCGATGAGACCCTTCCAAAAGGTGTTGTCGTAGCGGGTATCAACGGTGATGCTGAAACCACCCGTCTTCATGCCTACAGACGGGGCAGGATTGGGACGGGGAAACATTCGTTAGGCACATCTTCCTGCCCCAAGACATTGACAATGGCACGGGTGGCCAATGCTCGAGCATGGTCCAAGCGCGGACTCAACCTGTGAGAAGGCCGACGTAGCCAGCAAAGTAGGTGGCGTTGTACATGACCTTGCCACCCTTCCAGATGCGAGCGTTGAAGAGGAGGGGGCGGAGCTTTTCAGTGAGGGCCCAAGTCTCGTTGGCCTTGTCCCAGCCAAAGAAGAGGCCAAAGTCGAGGTTGCGGGCATGGAAGGTGCGGTTTTGACCATCGCGGGCCACCAAGGAGGTACAACCACCCTCAATTTCATAGGCAATGTTGTAAACAATCAGAGCACCCACGTCAATGCCGGTGGCGTTGGCGATGCCGCTGTGCGGTTTGCAGATGGTGGAATGGGGCAGGGTGAGATCATGGGTCGAATCTGACTCAGCAAGGGGGCAAGGCAATGGAGGTCGAAGAGAGTAGTGTAGAGCCGCCAACTCAACCAGGGTGACAGGGCATACCGGATCTCATCTCCAAAGTCTTCGGGGAAGGCGTCCAGAATCTTGTCGGCACCCTGGTCAAGCGCGGCCATGACCTTTTCGCGCAGGTACGAGGGCAGGAGATCAATCACCTGGTACACCATGTCCGAGATCTGGGGGGCCAAGGGCTTGGTCACGTTGACCCAGCGCTCCTGCACCCATGCGAACAGCAAAAGACAAGGTTGAGCGGCATTTTTGCTGGAGCCAAGCCGGTTGACAGTCGTTTGACGGGCCACTCAAGCGGGGGCGGGGTATGATGGCGCGGGCAAGGGCGCCAAGCGAACCTGAGCGGGAAGGTCGAGGTTGATATCATGCCAAGGCAGGGCCGTCTCAGGCTTGGGCGGGTAGAGGGACTCGGAAGCCATGTTGCATTTGGTATCCGCGGCCAGCGCAAGGGCTGGAAGGGCCAGTGCCACGAGGAGCAGCTTCATCATGATGACGATGCCGTTGAGAAGAAGACAAGAAGACTACTACGTGACGCCAAGAAAAATGACGTCAAAAAAAAAAAAACCATGAGCCTGCTCGACGCGCGCATCACATCTGGTGCGTGAGGGAGCGGTGCCATAAACACCAACACCATTCCGCCCGCAAGGCCGCCGCCAGTGCCGGCACCGCACACACGCACACATACACACACACATGCACACACACACATGCACTTCGCACGCACTCACCGTTCTGCCAAATACACTCTCTCAAACTCTCTCTCTCTCAAACACACACACACTCTCTCTCTCTCTCTCTCAACTCTCTCTCTCTCTCAAACTCTCAAATTCTCTCTCTCTCTCAAACTCTCTCTCTCATACGCTCTCTCTCAAGCTCTTCTCAAAATCCCTCAAACCTCTCAATCCCTCAAAATCTCTCAAACCTCTCTCGATCTCTCAAAATTTCTCACTCTCTCAAACTCTCTCAAACGTGGAGGAATGGGAGATTACCTCACACTGTCATAAGAGAAACAAAACATAAAACAAACATAGAGCTAACCACTGTGTGTGTGTGTGTGCGTGTGTGTGTGTTTGTTTTTTTTTGCCCTGTTTGTTCTCTTTGCCAGACTGATGAGTTGGCCACCATCTCTGGGTTGGGTTTACAAAGTGTGATAATCTCTTGTTTCATCATGGGTTTGAAGAAGATCTCTGTACAAGGTTCAAATTCCTTTGTATCTCAGCTCAATTCAGCTCACATCTCTGCTTGCAATTCACCAGTATCTCTCTCCTTCTGAAGGCGCACCCCATTTCGCTAGCACCTCTGCCCTTTCCTCCCGCCTGCCCCCACCCCTCTCAAAGTTGGAGGACATTGTGTTTGGCGCGCTCCCTCTCTCTCTCTCTCTCTCTCTCTCTCTCTCTCTCTCTCTCTCTCTCTCTCTCTCTCTCTCTCTCTCTCTCTCTCTCTCTCTCTCTCTCTCTCTCTCTCTCTCTCATGGCAAATGACGCACGTGCAACAACTGTTGTAAATACATGTCATGTCGATTTGGTGTTGTTGCTCCTCCTGCTGTACCTGGTACGTCTCCTTCACGCCCCCTTTCGGGTGCAAGAGTGCAGGTTGAGATCGATCGCCTCCAACGAGCTCGGCACCCGCTCACGTTCTTGTGCGAAGACCTGAATAATGGCATGTTTTAAAATCGTCAACTCAAGACGGCACTTCTCTCACTCCGCTCTTCCTTTGGACATGTAGTGTTGTATCCAATCGCCAATGACAAACACACACACACACACACACACACACACACACACACACACACACCTCGCACGCCCCTCGCTCTTGGGCCCTCCTTTGAAAATGCCTGATCAATGGAAACTGAGTAGCATCTTGATGGTCATATCATTTGTAAGGGATAGATTGTTGTTCGTGTCACACTGCCATCGTTCAAAGCAGCAGGACAGGGAAAGAAAACCAGCCGGGGAGGGGCAAGGGCGAAAGTATTGATGCAGGGTTCGGCGGCTTGATTCTCAAGTAGCTAGAGCCCCGCACAAGGTCGGGAACAGTCAAGGCAGAGCACAAATGCAACACACAAAACACAAGTGTCGCAAAACGGCCCCAGCCTTCCACATCAGTTCGAAAGAAAAAAAAAAGAAATGGAAAAAAAAAGGGGAACAAAACGCAAAACAAAAGTCAACAAGCCAGCAACAACGAATCAAAGAATCGCAGAGCGAGTAAGAAGAGGAAAGAAGGACGAGACCTGCAAACACAGGGCCCTCAAAGACACGGGACATGTGCTCCCAGAGCGCTCTTCCATTCTCCCTCTTTTAATGTTCCTCATGCTCGCTCGTGCGGGTCAGGCGTTCCCAGACTACCATGTGCAAAAAAGAGGGGCAAGTGGGCGATGGCAAATCACGGTTCTCCTTGAAAAGATCAGATCCTTAAAAGAGGATGGAGCTCAGACCACCCATCTCGGCCTGCTCCTTGGCAAACATCTCGTAGTACTGGTAGATGATGGTGACAGCCAGCAAGATACCAGTGCCCGAACCAATGGCGCCGATAAAGTCAGCCGTGACCGACAGAGCACCAATGCAGAGACCACCCAGAGCCGCAGCGGTGGGGATGTAGTGCTTGAGGCGCTCCTCGGTCTTCTTGTCGCGAGCACCAACCAGGGTGAGCTTGCTCTCCTTGAGCTGGCGATGAACATCCTTGTACGAAGAGCCGGACATCATGACCCAGTACTTGGAGAAGAGAGCGCACGAGCCCAACATAAAGGCCACGTAGAGCACGGTGTGGATGGGGTCAACGGCAATGTGCTCCCAGGAGCCAGGAGCGTGCATGTAGTAGCAGAGACCGCCAACGGGGACGCTCTGGCCACCGCTGTACTCGTTGACGCGCCAGTCACCGAGGAGACGGACCAAAAAGTTGGAGGGAAACTTGTTGTACAGCATCTGGGAGATGAAGTAGAGGTTGGACACAAGGGCCGACTGCAGGATGATGGGCATGTTGGAGGTGTAGAAGAGCTTGATGGGGTACGAGGTCTTCTGGCCGTTTTGGGCCTGGAGGCGGAGGGTGATGCGGAAGCCCTGGAAGAAGATGACCACGGCAAAGACGAGGACGGTGGCCATGAGCTGGCCAATGTTGGGCAGGTAGGGACGGGTCAAAGCCTGGCGCAGCGCGCGCATCTTGTCCGAACGGGTGGCCAGGAGATGGAAGAGGGCAATGAGGGCACCCTCAAACTCGGTACCGTTGCCCAAGTTCATGGTGTTGGGGCTGAGGGCCTTCCACATGATCGTCTCGCAAATGTTGGTGGCAATGAAGAGGGAGATACCCGAGCCAAGACCGTAGCCCTTTTGCAGAAGCTCATCGAGGAGGAGGACGACGATACCAGCCATGGTCAACTGGATGACAATGAGGCTGCAGATACCAAAGCCGAGCTCCGCGGGGGAACCGTACATGCCGCTGATGACGTACATGACAGCCTGGCCCACCGTGATGAGGAGGCCGGCCAGCTTGGTGGCACCCTCAAAGAGTTCGCGATCCTCCTTGAGCGACTGATCGACATCAATCAGCTTGGTGCCGGCCAAGAGCTGCATGATCATGCCCGAGGTGACAATGGGGCTGATACCCAGCTCCATCAGCGTGCCACGGTTTGAGGCCATGATCACACGCATCCAGTACAGAGGATCGGCCGAGGACGAGGACATGATGCCAAAGAGAGGGATCTGAAGAATATCGAGCCGAGTTGGTGCGCGAGTGAGACGATGTATCAAAGACAATAATAAACAACGGAAAGAAAAAAATGGAGAGAAAAAAAAACGGAGAGGGGAAAAGGACCAATGAGGAGCACAAGGCTAAATCGCATACCTGGCAGCAGACAAGGAAGATGAACAGGGTCACCGCGGTCCAGAGAAGCTTCTCACGGAATTGAATCTGTTGAAAGCGCAAGGGTAGATGAGGTGAGAAGGAGAAAAAAATTGACCCCCGGCATTTTGATGATGGCGGCAGCAGTTGTGCAACGTACGTTGCGCTCGGGCGACTTGACCTCAGGCACAAAGGCCATCAGAGGCTTGATCACGTGAAGCAGCTTGCCTGCGCGGTTGCAAACAAGATCAGGATCGGAGACGGCTGTCGGTATGAGAAGCACTTCTGACTCTTGAAGGTGGATATTGAGAGGTGTCAGCACAACTGTAAGACTTACCGGACGACATGACTGGTGGTCACTGTGGTCCAAACGGTGGTCCAGAACAACAAGGGGGAAAGGGAAGGGAAGGCGAGAAGAAATGGCTAAAGTGATGAAAGATGATCATAAAATAAAAATGAGCAAAAAGAAAGGGGGGCGAGTTGCTAGTGGATCGAAGCACGGTTGGACCAGGCGCATTGTGCGTACCTTCTCGCTCAACCAGGGGAAGAACCAGTAGAATTCCTAATCGTCACGAGGCAGATGAAGGACAAGAGGCTGAGTGAGGCTGATCATACGAGAAAAAGCGCGAGGTCAAACATCACAAAATGGCGTGGGGCGGGGGGAGTGTGATGCTGTAAATCTGTAATGACATGACAAGGAAGGAACAGATGCACCAAATGCACACGCCCTCCAAAGAGGAGAAAAAAAAAGAGGTGTCAACGTTGACGGCAGTGCAACAACAACAAGTGCACACGTCAACCCCAGTGGGTCTTGTTCGGTTCAAAAGGAACTTTCAAAGAATGGATCTGTCTTTGACACGGAAAAAGGCACACTACACTGGGTGGCTGAATGGCAGTGCACGGGTAGCACAGTACATGCGCACACGGGCAAAGGGGAGGCGCCACTGAACGGATGGAAGCACTGAGTGATGCATTCCAGCCGTGTCGAGCCGACGAGGTCGATCAAATCAAAATCAGATCGCACCGCACCGGTCGGCAATTGGCTGGCCGAACCCCCGCGACGGTGATTGGCATCGTAAAACCCGCTCCAGTTCCCCACCCCCTCAGAGGCAGGCCACGCCCATCCGTACGCTGCCATTCAGCCCGACCCAGGCCCCGCCCAGCCTTGCCCGGAGACCAACCGAGCCAGCCGTCGCCGAGCCCAAAACCAGAGCAGCAAGCCACCACCGACCAAAGCAGAGACAGAGCGGGATCGGCGGGATCCAATGTCCCTCTCTCCGTGTGTGATCAGTAACCTCTCAGAGACACAGTGAACAGCACTGCTACTTTACCGGGAGGGCGGTCAAAGGAAAAGTGCTCCGCCTCTCTCTCTCTCTCTCTTTCTCTCTCTCTCTCTCTCTCTCTCTCTCTCTCTCTCTCTCTCTCTCATTCAGTGGAAGAGAACAAAAGGTTGGTGTTTGCACTGCCACTGAACAAAAGGAACAAAAGATTCTCTCTCTTCTCTCTCTCTCTCTCTCTTCTCTTCGTTTTCCCTCTCTCCGGTATGTGAACGATGCCACGAAGACAGGCACTGGAATGTGAATCGTTTTAGGGGATAAAAATGATTCACTCGTCAATACAAAACTGTGAATGCAAGAAAAACAGCTGTTGTGACGGGCCGGGGGTGCTGGATGTCAGATGTCATACTTTCTATGGATTTGTCGAGGCTTGGCTGCTCATCAAATGGGACCAACCTCTGGCCACGACCCCGCTGAGGTCAGATTCTCTGATAATAGCTTTGACTTCCGCTTCGTAGCAAAATGGCATTGCGGCTAATCTCTGCCGGGGTGAGACCGGGCTACCCCCTGTCTCTTCCTGCGCGTTCAGCTTAGGGCCACGGCGGCTGGCGGTCGATTCAAGTGTGTGTGGCGGCGCAGCCCCTGCTGCAACTTGGCCGATCTGGCGCACCGATGCAGCCCCGAGCAAGGGCAAACAGGAGTAGCCTCCGTGGTCTGCGTATTGCCTAGCCCAGACAGACCCTGTGGCATGCCTGACAGTTTGGCTTGATGCTTTACATCACGCCTGCAATGAGGGCTGATCGTGCAATGCGATGTGCGTCGACGTCAGCTGTGCAAGGGACAGACTGACAGCGTGAGCTGCCGCATTGTATCAAGGGAACAAGCCATGTGTTGATCGACAGTTCAACGCTGTAACGCCCCGCCTTTGGACAAGCGTGGTGCGCAGTGGGCTGCGCCGACGCCACGGCCGACAGGCACCGAGCAAGGGAACGATGGGCTTTCGAATCGTGCGGTCCGATTCTTTGGCCTTGACAGCAGCCAGGGCAGTACCTGGTCGTCCGGATTGTCCCGTCCCGTCTGCGAGGTCAAGGGAATGTGGTCTAACGGACAGGTCGGGGCTGGGGCCGAGGTCGACGGGTGGCAACGACAGCCACCACGGCTAAAGTGAGCGGCCCCGCGGCTCGCAGGCTGACACTTGAGGCTTGGTGGCGGACACGCGTGTCCGTGGATCTCATGTGTGTTGCCTCAAAGCGCTGTATGCTCTGGCCGTTGTGGGCTGGCCGGGCGGAGGCACCAAGTTCTGATACAAATTTTGACATGTCAAGCCCACGCGGCAACTGAGAAACTCATTCCCTGACACGGCATCCTATGCGAGTGGGAACCCCGACCTGGCTGGAGCACCGTGCCACCTGTCATCCCGTTATCTTTGAAAAACGCACGCAGGAAGACAGACCGTTGTCAAGGCCCGGGCCGGGCGGCAGCGGGATTTAAATCGCAATCACTGGCCTGCCCAACGGAATTTGACCTGTCTGCCTCGGTCCCGTGCACCTGGCTCCCGTCTTGTCTTGGGGGGGACCGCTTTGGTATTTCACATTGAAGCACGGGTGAGGTTCGTTGGTCGCGCGTCGAGAATGGAATGGGACAAGATAAACCCGGCTGTCAGCTTGGCCCGGCAACCGCACAGGAAGGAGGGAAACGCTGGAACGGCTGGGGGCGTGGTGCCAAACTGCTGCCAAATATGTTGGTGGTGCTCTGCCTGTTGGTGGTGACGGCAGGAGCCAGCAGGATTGTACTCCTGCTGGCTGGTTTCGTCAGAACCCACCCACCAGCCGCACGGGAATTCGCATGTTTGGCAGCGGGACATGCCGACGATGAGTGTGAGATTGGACCAGCTGGCTGGCAGGCAGTCGCTCAGCGGCACGTCGTGGGAGGCGGTAAGACTGGGGCAGACGGTTTTGCATCATAGCGGACGCGAATGGCGGCGCGTGTCTGGTTTCTTCTCCAGCGGGACACATCCCACAACGGCACGGATGGCGGATGGAGGCTGCTATTGGCGCAAAAGTGGCATGCCAGAACCCATTGCCAGAGCCCACGTCTGGCTCAACTAAACCATCTATGTACGCAACGACTGGCGTACCAGCCCAGCCCCTCGTAGCACAGGAAAAACCACGCCAGTCCTCGCCGCAGCCAGTCGTTGCCGCATCCGGGCAGCAATGGTGGGGTCAAACACAACAGCGACATGACCGTGTGTCCGCTATCCTTCAATCCACAGGGTGGTATGGCCGGGGAAGATGCCCGAGAGCGTCGTCGACTATGATAACGTCTAGCGTCGTACCTCGCCCGTCAAGGCAAAAGCGGGAATAAGAAGGACAATGCCGATTGGCACCGGCATCGCAGGGTAACGGCGGCACGATGGAAGCCGGCTGGGAGGAATTCGAGCACATGCATGGGAAGACAAACAGGCTGGACGGTTGACAGCCCGGAACGAAACGGCAAGAGCAGCCCCTACAGGCGGGTTGATGGCGGAGCAAGATCCAGTCGCAACGCGCTCCAAACTCTGCCGGATGTCTCGGCTGGTTGGACGTGCCTCGAATGCCGCCCCAAGCAGAAGGGGAGCCCTTTGGCGCGCAACCCCCTCCCTCCCCCTCCCCTTACACACACACACACACACACACACACACACCCTCCCTCTGCTCGCCGTTTGTCTCAGGGACCAAGCCGCTCCCATGCGCCTCGCCAACGACATTCCCCGGCTGCCTTCATGCTTACTCATCGACTTGACCTGTCGAGCCAAAGCCCCGATCGACCTCACGACCCAACTCGTCTGTGCCCTCCTGTGGCCTTTCGCCCCCCAAACGTACGAGCATGTCTATTGGAGTGCACCCGTGCTCTTTCCTCCCTGCCTCGCTCGCCCCCTTTCCCGCCCGCCGCTGCCTTTCCAGCTATGCGCACACTCCCTCCCCCAAGCACCAGAGATTCTCCACAATCGACCCGATTGGCCGCGTCGAGGCATGCGACAATCCAAAGCGGCCCCCGCTTCGAGCTCGTCTCCACGCACACACACACACACATACGGTCGCCGGCGCACATACTTGATACCCCGCAAGGACAACGTCATGGCTCGATACGCGACACAACCCCCACCTCATCATCTCTGACGCGTTTGCTGCCCGCTCACCCGTGCTCAAAGCCCTCCCAACCGACCGCCAACCCGCTCGCCAATCCCGACGAAATCCAACGACACCCTCCCGGCAACGGGACATGAGAGCGGACAGCCTTTGCGATACTCATGTTCCCGCTAGCCAAAAGCCACGCGCCATCGCCCCTCGGGCGGCCAGTGGCAGTGTCCGCTCCAATTGTATGCACACACCACTTGCCTGCTCGCCTTGTCCTCGCCGCCTTGTCCCACAGATCGACCCACTGGCTGCCTTTGGCCCGCCGTCCTCACCTGGACAACGCGGCCGTGAAGAATTTCTTGTCGGGGGCTACGTGGTCGAATGTCGACATGACCCCGCCCCGTGTCTCTCGGTTCCCCTCCTGGTCGGTAGGTGGGTTGGCGGACGGAGGCACTGTCCCGTCAAGGCATGCAGGACACGACGGTTGAATCATTCCGCCCGCTCCCCGACCCCCCCCCTCCCCACCTCCCCTGGCATGCCATGCCATGCCATAGATGGTGGTAAATTTTTTCATGCCCGTGCCCCTAACCCTCTTGCGGGCCCCCCCCCAACTCCCCGCTACCATCACCATTACCACCATCACCAATAGCTCTGTGGCATCGTCCACATGCCAGCCGAGCCCAGAATTTTGAATTTGCCTCTCTCTCTCTCTCTCTCTCTCTCTCTCTCTCTCTCTCTCTCTCTCTCTCTCTCTCTCTCTCTCTCTCTCTCTCTCTCTCTCTCTTGGATGTGTCGTCTTTCCACAAGCTTGCCCCTCCTCCCACAGCCAACGGCCTCTTCTGCTGCAAATGGGAGGGGTGAGCGGACGCAAGCCCCGAGCGGCTCGCCACTGTGCCTATGAACCCGAATCTCGATGAGTACATAGACATGAGCGAGGACGGTTGAGCGGGCGAGTCTCGATCCTGATTCGCATTTTCTCTCTCCGCTGCCTCCCCCTGACTTTGACACATCGCGCGACTGCCCGCCGGCTGCCCTTTGCCTTTCCCGCTCCCTCTCCCCGACTACGAGACGACAGTCTCTGCCTTTTGCCGCTGCCATCCCAGCCGTCTCCCAAAAGCTTCCAGCAGAGAGTCCAACCACCTTGCTAATCAAGACTGCCCGTTTTATCATTCCACCGCGGCCTCGACCTTGCATTCCACGCCAACCGTCTCGCCAAGATCCGAATTTCGACGGCTCAACCAGCGATCATGATGGAGTGGTACGTCGACTCTTGGCACCTCCCTTGCATACGTCAAAGGCATTATTTTCTCTCGCCCTTGCTGCTCCAGCCCACAGCCCAGCAACCGCGCTCGCTCATCTTGTCCTGCATTTGCTGCGGCCCAATCGTAGCCCTGTGGTCGCCAACGTTCTCCCTGTCAATGACAGCCCCATCATGATCCAAACCATTCGGCCCAAGCTCATGCCCAAGACGATGGAGACCTCAAACTCGACCTCTAACCCAGCCCCGACCCCAAGCGCCAAGCGCTCGTGTCGTGAGCGCTTGACTCAGTCCCTTCACACACTCGACGTCGCCCACTTCTTCACCGAACAAGTCCTGCCCCGCCTCCAACGCTACGTTCGTCATCAATTGCAGACCCGCAACGTCCCCAGCCACCCCGCCGGTCCCAAAAGCGCCCACCACATCATCACCCCCGCCCTGGCCTCGCCGACCTCCCATACCAGCCGCTTCCTGGCCCGCTGCACCACCGCCATCTGGCACCGCGTCGATGCCGCCGCCCATCGCACCGCCGCCGAACATGATCAAGAACCAGCCCTCAAGCGGCCCAAGGCTCCGCCTTCAGGCACGGGCCAGGTCGCGGCCTGCGTTCGGGATCTCCTGACCAGCAACGACTGGTTTGAGGACTGGGCCACCGCATTGAGCCAAGACGAGCTGCCCGACATGACCTCGGCCGTTCAACGTGGCCTGCTTCTGGTTCTTCTTGCCCAGGCCACCGACGTGGTCGTCCGCCACCGGGTCCAAACGGTTCTCAACAGCCTGGCTTCCGGAGCTCAGCAGCTGCGCCTGGTGCGGGGCTACGCTGCCGACAAGGACACCATCGCAGAAGAACTCTGCCATCACATCGTGCGCACCGACACCCACACCTTGGCGGCCTTTTGCGACAAGCACGAACAGGACGAACTGGCCTCGGCCGAACATTTCAATGACGTGCAACGACGTCGCGTCATGCTGCACACCCTCCGTACCCTGACTCTCACCGCCGCCACCGAGGGCAAGAGTGACATCGAGGTCCACCCGCTGCTCCTGCGCCTCTTTCAACGACTTGAAACCGCAGTCACCCGCGAACTCAACGTGCCCCACAGCGACGCCCGCGTCATTGTCAACCGCGTCCTACTCAACTGCAACGTCCTCCAAGCCTGGGCCGATGTCGTTGCTCATTGCCAAGAACATGCCCCGGCCGATACAGACCACCCCGCCTTGACCTCCCAAGACCGCACCCTTATGCTGGCCACCCTCATCCATCGCTACTACACCCTTCGCAAGCAACACCACGAGCGCGTGGTCCGCATCAACCACAAGCTCTTTCCAGAGAACCGCCCCGCTTCGCTGCCATCTCAACCCGCCCAACACTCCTCAACCCCGACCCCCAGCCCGTGGGCCCGCCAAAGCATGACCTCTGTCTGAAGGGCCACGTGCATGCCCCCGTCCTCCCCTGAATAATATTATTGCTCAGTGTTTCGTAGATAATTCTTGATTTGGATGTTCTTCCATCCTTGTGAGCTCCCCTTTTTTTTATATTTGATTTTTCGTAAACGTGGTTGCCTCGACCGAGCACCCGACCGTATGTCGGCCACAGCTCTTGCCGCCGCTCCTATCTTGGCACGCTTGTTTGACCGATGTCATATTGTTTCTAACATCCGAGATCAGACTTTGTGTTGTTGTTTTACATAATTCACACTCAAGAGGAACAACCAGTCTACCTCCCTCCCCAAGCCCACCCGTGAAGATCATCTTGATACAATACGACGATGATATTCTTCCACGACTTCACAATGTATATGTCATGTATTCATAACACTGAAAAACTGCAAAAGCTCTCGTCATCGATTCACAGGCGTGTGTCGTTGTGGGCTGGCCGGCAGCCAAATTGCAGTGGCCTTCACAGAAGGATTTCAACGATCAGACGACAACGCCATCTCCGTTGGTCGAAACCAAAATCATGGTCGTGCTCAGCACAAAGGGGAAAAAGAAAGAAAAACAAAAATTTAACATGAAAAACACTCAAAGTAGGGGCGCAACGAGAGGGGCGAACAACGCCAAACAGAGAACCAATTATGATATCAGCGATGGATCCCGCCTTTTCACCCGGTGGTCAGCTCGCGGTTTGCGATGCCTGCCGGTGGTCTCTTTTCACAAATCATCTCCGACAAGTCGATCATACTCCGCCTGCGTGATCTTGCCCTGTTTGAGGCGACGCATCAAGCGTGCTTCTTGAGCCAAATCATCCACATCGTGACCGTCGTCACCGACATTGTTCTCCTTGAGCAAGGCGTGAATCTCAGCACGTTCTTTGGCCTCGGCCTTGGCCCGCCGCTTATCCTTGCGCTCCTTGGCCTGTTTTTGCTTGGACCTGAGGGAAGAGCCGGCCCCAAGGTGAGTCAATCAGCATCGGCGTGCACAACCAGTGTGCCTTCGAAGATTTTCACCAGATTACTACTGGCAGGCAGGCAGTCAAATGAGCGGGCTTACCAGGCTTCGTTCTTTTTCGAACGCTTGGATCGCTCTCGCTCCTTTTCGGAAGGACCTTCCGCCAACGCCTTCTCCCGCTCCTCGGCACGGCGCTTCATGTTTTGTTGGCGTTGCTTTTCTCGCTGCTTGTCGCGGAACCGAATGCTTGCTTGGTCGATCTTGCTGCATCCATGGTATCCCAAGAGCGCACATATGTACGTGAGCATAAGCCCCGACCAGGCCAAGGGCGGGGGAGATAGAACGAGCTCACAAACCTCTGCTCAAAGGCACGCGAATTTTGCAAACTGCGCAATTCAGGCATGCGTGGCAAATGCAGCAGCGCAAAGCCCCGCGCAAGGCTAAAACAAGGGAGCGCATGGATCCTGTGAGCTAAGATGAAACAAGGGCACGGCAACAAGACTGCTGCATGCTTGCTGCAGACAGGGTGCTTGCTGCAGACAACAACAACGTACGCAGCCAAGTCCAACTTTTTGAATTGGAAAATATAGTTGCACTTGTGCTCTTTGTACGAGCTGCAACATGGGCAAATGGCCATGCATGGACACTGGTGAGGAAAACCGCAAGCAAGAGTGGCGCTGCCAACTGACAGCAAGAAGTGGGACAAAGAGCGTGTGCGCGCAAAAGCCTACCGAATAAACGTAACAAAAGCCAGTTTGCCTTTCTCGTAAATGTCACGGTCCTTGGCAGCCAAGTCCCGACAGCGAGGCAACAGATCCTCGGCCCCCTCAAAAGGCTCCTGCTCCTCGATGGGAATCTGGAAAGACGACAGAAGCACGTCAAAGCTGGGTTAAAGACAGACACAACGGCAAAACCACCGCGTGGGCTGCTTTAGGAACAGTTTTGATGGACGGACGGACAAACACGTACATTGCGAACATTCAAAAAATCAATGTACGTGTCCTCGTGTGGTTGCAAAAAGAGCACGGCTCGGCCTTGACGACCGAGGCGAGCAGTACGGCCACAGCGATGAACGTAGGCATCGGGGTCTTGTGGGGGATCATACTGCAGGACCCACGCCACGTCGGGTACGTCCAAGCCACGAGCAGCAATATCCGTGCTCACTAGGATGGCGCCCTCGGTGTTGCAAAATGTGCTAAAGACGCTCGTACGGGCCTTGGAAGAAACCTTGCTGTGAAGAGCCAGAATCTTGGCCCGGCGCAAGCCGGGCATGTTCTCAAGCAACGAGACAAAGTAATTGACACAGGCGCAAGTGGCCATGTACACAATGGCCTTGGCCTGTTGTTGACGCATCAGGCGCAAAAAGGCCACCAGCTGATTAAACTTTTCCTCGGCGGAGAGAAAAAGATATGTGTTGATGAGTGTGGATGGTGTGGCTTGCTGAACACTGCCAGCACCCTCTTGCCGATGTTCCACCTTGACGGCCACTTGTACCGGGTTGCGCAGACCGGCGCGGGCCAGCGCCTGCACCTCGTTGGTTTGGGTAGCCGAAAAGAGGCCCTGTCAAATCCAAGCAAATGAGACCGAGGTGGTTTGTTACAAAAAAAAAAAACGGTATAAATAAAAACCACATGCATGGGTCCAAGACGACCCGCTTGGGAGCGGTCATAAAAGGCAAGCGCACTCAAAGGCTGGCGGCAGGACGTACGGTGCGGCGCTGCTTGGGTAAAAACGTGAAAATTTGAGTGATGGCTTGTTCAAAGCCCATATCCAAAAGACGGTCCGCTTCGTCCAGCACCAACATCTGTACCCAGCGCCAACAAAGTGAATGCATGTAAGCCAAGAAAGACCAGCTGGAGGAGAACAAGGGCAACATATTGCCATCACATGAAAAAAAAAAAAAGATGGCAGCCATGGCACGCGACGAGGCACGGCTCATCGACCACAGAGGGAAAACAAACCTCGAGGTGTTTGACGCTCTTCATCAAGGAACCAGACTTGTTAAGAAGGTCCAAGAGTCGACCCGGGGTGGCAACAATGACGTTGCATCCCTCCTTGAGTTGGTTGACGTCCACTTGCACGTCGTGGGCACCGGTAATGAGGCAGGCTGAGAGGTCCACACCATGTTGCAGAAACGTTTTGACCACGTCGTAGGTCTGTTGGGCCAGCTCACGCGTGGGTGAAAGCACAATGGCCCCGACAGACGTGGGGCTTGGCAGCGGTGTCCGAAGCAATAGCTCGAGGAGAGGCACAACAAAAGCCAGGGTTTTACCCGAACCGGTCACCTGAGCATGGCGGAAGAAGTCTCATGAGCCGGTGATCAGGCTTGGGGGAAGATGGCTGACGCGTAGGTTGGGATGGCCGTAGACATACCGCGTCGGCGGCAACATCGCAGTGGTCCAGGAAAAGTGGAATACAAGCGGCTTGCACTGGCGTCATCTAAGCACGTGTCAGACCACTGGTGAGCAAGGTTAAAGAAGCACCTGTCTGACCGTCGGGCCATTGCACCGAACCTGTTCAAACTTGAGGTCAGCCAGCGTGTTGGCAATCGCATCATGCAGCTTGAGGGCAGAGCCGTCTTTGTGATGCAACGAATCCCATCGCCCCGCATTGGCTGTTGATGAAAGAGGGAGGGGGCGCAAAGCAATATAAGCAATATATGAGCTGCCGTCAAAAGAAAGAGGGCTGTCCTTTATGTGACGCTGCACAGCAGATGCAGGTACGCACCTGTAGCCTCCATCGCGCCTGTTCCCTGAGAGCTAAAGGGGAGACTTTGCTGGCTGCAGCAGGACGCCGGAGGTGAGGAAGGCGATGACGGAAATAGGTCAGAGACAAACCAAAAGAAAATTTAACCACGCGAGCTCAGGGTCCCAAAGGCAAACAAAGAGCGCGTTGGGCCACACAAAGCAGACTCGGCAAGGGTCGAGGGTTTGTTGTGGGCAAGATGATTGTCCAAGCCAACATGGCTATGAGCCTCAAAGAGCTCGGTTGACTCGGATGATTTTCCTCGCCGTTCAAAAGGTGTTTTAGAAAAGACGGTGAACTATAAAAGACATTCCATCTGAGCATGATGCGGCTTACCAGCAAAACGGAGAAGGGAACGGAGGGAGACTTGCAAGCAAAAGCGCTTCTGCGCAGGAGGAGTGCTGCCGATGTGATTCAAGCCGGACACCAAGTCATGACATCAAAGGTGAGACAAGACAAGACAGTGCAGTGCACCACTGCATGACGCAGGGCAAAACGTGTGCACAATGGAACTTGAAAAAAAAAAAAAAAAAAAAAGAGTAATTTTGCATGGGGGCCGGCAGGCACACGACTGGTAGGAAGTCAATCGCGTCACCGGTGCATGGGCGGCAGAAAACGAGCCGAGACGGAACCGACGCCTGCACGCTGGTGCAGGGCCGATCCCTCGCGAGCCCGCCTCCACAACACCCGTTAACACCGGCGGCATCACCGACCCCAAGCATGCATGAAGGTTTGATCTTTGCAAGGTGTGTGTCCGACAGCGGTATGGGGTCAAATAATCGGCGGACCAGAGGTCGCGCCACCGCCAGGATGATTGGCCTTGCACTCGGGGAAAGACAAAGAGGGGGAGAAAGGCGAGCGAGCGAACAAGGGCATTTCTTACGTGATGCGATCAGCACCAGGGAGAAAGGAAGTGAACAAAATCTTGAAGAAGGAGGGCCGGTCTTGTTGGTGCATTCAGTACACCACAGTCGGGAGCCGAGACCAGCCGGCTGCCATTTGTAAGTGACGTGTCGCTGCCACAAGTGAAGCAAAAAAAAAAAAAAATGATTCACACGTGGGACCGGTGAGGAAGTATAGAATAGAGGGTCAAAGTATAATCTTGTGGTATCTCGTACCAAACAGTAGTTTTGTACAGGTGTTACTTGGCAACCGTTCGGACCCGCCTATGGCAGTCGAGCCGCCAGCATGTTCGCCGAAGGAAAAGGAATGCCCATCACTCAAAGATCTTGCATGAGGCCTGCGGTTCCATGTCAAGCACTCGGGCCGCCCACACGCTAGATCACGCGTCCATCCAGCGTCAACAATCCATGTTCGCCATACAAACAAACTCATCAACAATCCAGCAGAATTCGTGTGTGTGTTCGTTTGATCGCAGACCAGAACATGATTGACCACCAACTGGCCAGCCAAAACACACCCAAATCGTCGATGAAGTTATGCCAAGCATCGAGGTGTGATCTTATCCAAACGCCATCACAAACTAGCCATCGCCGCCGTCCCAAATGCCATCCACCACACACCTTAATTTTACACACTCATAAAAAAGGCGCTGAATGTCGTCATCCAAAGCGCGCGCTCTCTCTCAAACTCTCGAACTCTCTCTCTCAAACTCTCTCTCTCAAACTCTCTCTCTCTCTCTCTCTCTCTCTCTCTCTCTCTCTCTCCCTCTCTCAAACTCTCGCTCTCTCAAACTCTCTCTCCCTCTCTCTCTCCCTCTCTCAAACTCTCGCTCTCTCAAACTCTCTCTCAAACTCTCTCTCAAACTCTCTCTCAAACTCTCTCTCAAACTCTCTCCCTCTCTCAAACTCTCTCTCTCTCAAACTCTCTCTCTCTCTCTCAAACTCTCTCTCTCTCTCTCAAACTCTCTCTCTCA